TTTTTTTATTAAAGATCAAATTTTTCTATTATAGCCCTTGCCAAAAGTCTCCTCTCACTTTCTCTCAACCTCCAAGAGTCCCAAAATATTGTATTCCTTTATATTTTACTGTAGTTCCCTCTTTAAAAAAAAACAACTTCCGGGGTTTTTGTTGTATTAACAATCTTGTATTCCATTTCTTCTCTCTTTCAAATATTTATACGACTAGTTATTTTCCATAAAACATAAAAGAGGAAAATCTTTAACCATTAGGTGGTACTCTATATCACTTTCTTTTCAAAGTTCTTTTATTTTTAATTCTCTTTTCCGTAGTATTAATATTAAATTTCATCCATTCCAAATAAGTCTAGTGTTTTATCCATTGCCTAATTAATATCCAGTTCTATATATTAATCCAAATTTGATCTCTGATTTCATATAATTCTTTTATTTCTGGTATTTCCTTTACCTTATATTTTCCTCTTATTCCCCGTTCGCCGCTACCATTCTTTCAAATGAGGACACTTTCTTTCTGTTTTTGGGGGATTTTTTAAAAAAAAGTATTCAAAGTCTTTTATCCAGTTACATACCGCTCACCATTTCCACTCTCCAGCACACAAAACTTAAGTCCTGGTAGCTTCCCGTCTTCAGGGCAGCCATTAAACTGCCGCTTCTCCCTGTCTTCTAGGGGAGTAGATACCAAGCTAGGGAGGGGAGATGCGGCTCCCCTCAACCCAGATGGTGGTCTCCCCCTCTTCCCCCCACCCCTACAAGGTGGGTCAGATGGTTCAGTCCCTCAGGGACCCCTCCAGCAGGGCAAGCGCAGATCAAAGCCGCGCACGATCGCGGTCAGATCCGTCTTCAACGGAAACGCCACCGGAGGTCCCGTGTGTATATGTATATAAATGTATCCTACACACACAGCAGTGATGGGATTCAATTTTTTTTTACTACTGGTTTTGTAGACGCGGCTTGGTGGGAGTGGCAGGGGAAGGATACTATAATTCTCCAGTCAGAGGTGGTATTTGCCAGTTCTCCGAACTACTCAAAATTTCCACTACCGGTTCTCCAGAATCGGTCAGAACCTGCTGAAGACCACTTCTGACATGCACACACAAATAAAATTTATAAAGGGATAAGTAACACACAAGTTTAAAAAATAATATATGGCCAACTAAATCCATTTAAGGATAAGGCAAAAGACTCTTGTATATTTCTAGTTTTTTTTTAACTTGGTCTATTTTATCTCTGTTTTTATCTCTTAACATGTCAGGTGGTTCTCGACTTATGATCGTAATTGAGCCCCAGATTTCTGTTGCTAACAGATACAGTTGTGAAGTGAATGTTGTCCCAATTTTACTCTCTTTCTTGCCACCGTTGTCGTTAAGCGAACCGCTGCAGCTTTTTTCCAGTTAGTAAGGCAGCTATGAAGGGAATTTGGCTTCCTCGTTGATTTTGCTGGTCACACGTTGTAGCCGCCATAAACATGAGTCAGGAGAGCCAAGCCTGATCATGTGACCACGCGGAAACCACAACGGTCGAACGTGTGGGAAAAAAAACCCCGGTCCTTGTAAAGTCACTTCCCTTCCTCCTACCCCCAGTCCTGTGGTCCCTTCGAACAGTCGCTCAACAAACTGTTGCAAGTAGAGGACTACCTGTGCTAGCTGTTTTTTTTTCATTCCTCCTCTTCCTCGGCTGGCCTAGCACCACCATCCCACTAGGGATCTTGATCCTCCCGCCTTTTCCATTTTTTAAAAAAATTATTTTTAATTTTAATTATGCAAATATAACACAACACCTCCAACTTATCCTCATTTACACATAAATACATTTTACTTCATCATGTACAATCTCCTTGTTAAAACGTTAACCGCTAATTCATCTAATCGTAACTACTAGTATTATACAACCATTTATAAAATTTATTCCACGTTTTGTAAATATTCCTTTGCCTTTTATTTCTAAAGTTAACCTCTCAGATTCCCGCACATGCCATAATTTTTCTTGTTATTTCTGTTTCCGGAGGTCTAATTTCATTTTTTCCAATGTCTTTTCCATTTCCTCCCACCTTTCTCCTCCTCCTCTTAGGCCATATTTCACCTTTGCACACCTTTCAGCTGAACTACCTGAGCAGCTCAGCTTCCCGGATCCCGTTTCCTTTTTTTGTTTTTTTTCCCCCTCTCCCCTTCTTTTCTCTTCCACCCAAAGCCTTAAATCTCTCGGGAAGGAGAAGCCCCTCTCCAAACGCCCCATCAACAAAGCCGGACCAGGGCCAAGCCTGCCTGAGAAGACCCCCGCCCCCCAGATCTCTCCCACATGCTCAGATGACCCATCTCGGGAGAATCCCCCCACCCTTCGCAGCCCTTCCAGCCCAACAAAGAGGGAGGTGGGATCCATTCCGCGTTTCCAAACTCTTATCTTTTCTTTTATGTCCGCTGAGAGCATTTGCACCAAAGACAAATTCCTTGTGTGTCCAACCACACTTGGCCAATAAAGAATTCTATCTATCTATCAAGGGGATCGTTAAAACAATTAAAACATATTTTTTAAAAAAAACACAACACCGATTTTGGGGGGGCAAAGACCCCCCCCTTAGCCCCGTCCCCCCCAAAAAAGAAAGAAATCAGCGCTCACCTCGGTCTTGCTGCTGTATTTCAGGCCCGAGACTTTTGTTTTGGCCCCCGAAGGTGGGCGATAAATATTCATCTTTCCTTCAGGTATCGATGAATCGCTTTTCGGAGGAAGGGAGGAGGCAGAGGTCGGTGGGTGGGTGGGTGGGTGGATAGGGGACGAGCAGATGATGCGGGGCGGGAGAGCCAAGAATCCCCAAAAAAGGAAAAGAAAGGAAAGGAATCAAAAAAATCAAAAAGGAAAAAAATCCAACTGGCGACGCCGGGCGCAAAGTTCTCTCCAACTTTTGCCTCGCTTCCAGACGCAACTTGTGTTTGCTCTCTACAAAGCCAAGAGGGAAAACCCAGCCGGGGGCTGATTCACACACACATCCGGGGCTCCCCAAAGGAGGAAGGTTTCCTTGTCTTCTTCTCTTCTTTTGTCCTCCTTTTCTTTTCTTTTCCTTCTCCCTTCTTTCTCTCCGCCCTGCTTGAACTGGGTCGCGCGCGGGCGCGCTGCCTCGCTCTGCCTCCCCTTCGCCTTCCTGGAGCGCCCTTTGCGCGCACAGGTGACCCGCGGCGGGGCGGAGCTGCTGCTGCCGGTGGAGCAGCGCGGGAGTTACCTGGCGGCGCGGGGCCCCGCCCGCTTCTCCTGCTGGCAGGTGAAGGGGGCGGGGAGTAACAGCCGTCGGAATAAAGCTGGAAGGGAACCTTGGAGGTCTTCTAGTCCAGCCCCCTGGTCAAGCAGGAGACCTTCAACCAGTCAGAATAGAATGGAAGGGGCCTTGGAGGTCTTCTAGTCCAGCCCCCTGTTCAAGCAGGAGACCTTCAACCAGTCAGAATAGAATGGAAGGGGCCTTGGAGGTCTTCTAGTCCAGCCCCCTGATCAAGCAGGAGACCTTCAACCAGTCAGAATAGAACGGAAGGGGCCTTGGAGGTCTTCTAGTCCAGCCTGCTGCTCAAGCAGGAGATCCTATACCATTTCAGACAACTGACTGTCCAGGCTCTTCTTAAAAACCTCCAGTGATTGGAGCACCCACGATTTCTGGTGGGAAGCTGTTCCACTGGTTAATTGTTCCCATTGTTAGAAAGTTTCTCCTTAGTTCTAGGTTGCTTCTTCGCGTGAGTAGCAGTGAAAGGAGGCCCTTTCCCCTGGCCCAGGTGGGGGAAGCTGAAGGTGAGTGATGGGATACTGCAAAATCTCCATTCCCTCCCCATCCCACTAACCTGCTTTCCAGCTCTGTTCTCCTGTGCAGGGCAACCAAAGACCCAGCCAATTAGCTGGGACTCGAGAGGCAGAGAAGAGATGATGGGGTTGGCGGGGCCAGTCAGAGGTGGCATTTGCCGGTTCGCCAAACTACTCAAAATGTCCGCTACCGAACTGGTCAGAACCTGCTGAATATACCAGCTCTGGCGAGAGCTCTAAGGGATGGAGGAAGAGGTGGTACGGGAGGAGGTGCACCTGGCAGGAGGGACTTGCTGGGCTGCCAAGGAGAGCTACTCCAGACTGGACACTTACAGGCGGAAGAACCCTGTGGGACCTGGAGCTTTCCTTGGTGGGTTCAGCTGATAAGAGACCCCTGACTCCTTAGCCTGGTCCTCTGTCCCATGTTGCCTGGGTCTTCCTTGACTCTTCCGTTCTTCCATGGGCAACCCAAGAAGTAACCTATTTTTTAAAAGATCTGTTCAAATCTTTCCTTCCTTTTTTCTATAAATAACTCGAGGGCGTGAATAGACCCGATGCTCCTTCCTCCTCCTATTTTTCCCAGCAACAACCCTGTCAGGTCACTCAGCTGGCTTTTCAGGCCTAAGGCAGGACTAGAACGCAACACCAGCGCCTTAACCACGATACAAATCTGATTTAACTTCCCCGGAGGGGTTTCCCTCTGCTGGTCTCACGTGATTTGGAGACGGTTTGAATAAACCACAAAGGGTGGGATTCAGAGTCACAAAGTGAATGCAGGTATTTGGAAAAGGTCGTTTTAGAAATAAAGCTAATGGGATGGTGGACAAACCATCGTTGGAATGGAGAAGGAACCACACACGTCTGGTATGGGTGCTGATTTATTTGGGGTGGCTGTGGTTTGCAGGAGTCTCCAAACTTGGCAACTTTAAAGGCTTGTGGACTTCAACTCCAGGAATTGCCCAGCCAGCAAGACTAGCTGAGGAATTCGGGGAGTTGAAGTCCACAAGTCTCAAAGTTGCCAAGTTTGGAGACCCCCCTGATCTAAAGCACAGGCTACCATGGGGTTGGGTTGTGCGTTGGTCAATTCTAACCCTGACTGGTAATACGGTCTACTGTTTGCCTTGACATATTGTGGGAATCTAGCCAAGTGTAGTTTATGTAGTAAACCGGGGAGGGAGATCTCTGTTATTATTGGAGTAGGCTAATGCAATGTGCTTCCAGAGGGAACTGACAGGAAAATACATGGCTGGAGAAAACATAGGTGGCTTTAAGCACTGAGCGGTCCTAGTAGAGCAAACAGTTGCAACCTTGAACTTTGATTCAGACAGGACAGTTTGGATGGGCAGGAAAACCGGTGCTCTTTCTGGAATGATTGGCTTCCAGATTTGAAGCTATCCATTCAACCCTGGGGAGGCTTGGTTTGGTTTTTGTTTTTTTTCCAGAATTTGAGTAGTTGCAATCCTAGCATTTCTGCTGTTGCCCTCTTTGAGCACAGCCTCTAAGGTTAAAAGGCCAGAGCAATGAAGTAAAAATAGCCAGTAATTTAAAATATTCAGACAGGCAACGCTGACAAATTTCTGCCAAATCACAAAGATGCCCAGAAAACAATCTGAGGGGGGGGGGGAGGGAGGGAGGGAGGGAGAGAGAGAGAGAGAGAGAGAGAGAGAGATGGATAGGTGGATAGATGATGGAAGATAGAGATGATATAGATAAATATAAAGATAGATGATGAGATGAGAGTTGAAAGAGAAAGGTGTTTCTTAGGAAAATGAAATTAAAATATTAATTCACATTGCTGAAATTCACTATGGATTTAGTTTAAAAAGTATCTAGACTATGGGGGAAATAGTGTGAAGTACCTGAATGAAAAGCACGATGTATTAAACGTATAAAGAATAACTTCAGCGTCAAGTGGCATAATTAATGGAAAACTTAGTCACAGCATTGTGTTTCCTAGCAATTTTACAGAATCACTGAATGGTGTATTTACTGCAAGCTGTCTAGTGAGTCCATCAGGATGTCCTACACTATCTGTACATCATCCCAAGTATTCATTACGCGAGAACATGTTGCTAGCTGGAGGGTTTAAAATCCAGTGAGAAAAAATATCCAGCCAAGAAGGAAATGCTGGTTGGTGAGTAGAAGAGCAAGCCAGTCGACCAGACTGACCTAGAAAAGCTTGAAAAGAAGAAACGGTAACGAGAAGTTGACCTTCATGGCTATCGGGGCAGAATTTGAATTAGAATATTGCTGGAAGGGACCTTGGAGGTCTTCTAGTCCAGCCCTGTGCTCAACCAGGAGATCCTATACCTCTTCTGCATCTCAACCAAGCGAAATCCCAACTGCTGCAAATTAGCTTACCTTTTGGGGACCTTAAGATACCTACATAGAGTGTAGGCGGTGGAATGAGGTGGTCCATTAAAGGCAAATAAATGTCCGTTCATCCCTTTACTTCAAAGCCTGCGCATTCTTTATGTGGGATCTTTCTGAAAATTCTTTTAAAGAAGTGCTTTGGCTCTTTGTATGAATGCAGCACCTGTCAGCTGCCCCTTTAACAATGCATTCACACCTCTTCAGACTTCAGGGCAAGGATGCTTTTAAGAGCTGCCTCAAGCAAATTATGTTAATGATTGATTCATGAAAACAATGGCATCTTTTTTCCCCCTCCTGGGTCTGGCAGACACATGATTGAAGACAAGCAGGCTTACCAGAACTGCTCTGGGCTCCTATAAGATCCAAAATATTTCTTCTGAATTATGTGCATTTTACTATACTGTTTGAATAAACATACAGAAAATGCCAAATTCTACAAGTCTCATTACTAGTTAATCAAACGAAGTGCCGTTTTCAAACCCCCAGTGTATTGTTTGTTACGTTTTTCCAACTTTTCTGATTCTTGCACCCCAAATTAGGAGCTATATTTGGATTCCCATTTTATGGCAATAAAGTACAATACACTTGATTAACATCTGATTTTAATGTCAGATGACTTTATGATAGCTAGTAACTCTCTTGACTTTAAAAAAAAAAAGAAGACCATGCAAAACTGTGAACATGGTGTGCAATAACTATCGCGGTTCATAGACGTGGCATTTTTCTCTTAGCAAAAATACAAACCAAATAGATATTCATTTCAGTGCTTAATATCACTTTTAAAAAATGATCCCTTACAATAAAACAAAACAGTTCAGGTAATATAGCTGAGCTGATAGCAGACGTTCGTTCATAAAGTTTGGTAACCTTTATTCAAAAAGTAATAAAAATCCACAGTTAGGCTAATCTCCACTGAAGTGAGCAGGTAAGGTCAGAGGTCTCCAAACTTGGCAACTTTTAAGACTTGTGGACTTCAACGCCCAGAATTCTCCAGCCAACTCTAACTCAAGACATAAGAGACCCTTCTTGCTCTGCTGGCTGGAGAATTCTGGGCGTTGAAGTCTACAAGTCTTAAAAGTTGCCAAGTTTGGAGACTCCTAAGGTAAGTGTTCACCAAGCTCTGGGCGAGTTGGCTTCACCTGTGATTTTGAGAACCAATTTTCCTGTCCCATTAAGGCCACCAACATTTTGTCAAAATGGGGTAGAGGGAACAAAAGAATTTAACTCTCGGCTTTATTCACAACTAGCTCACCTGTGTATGAGATTTTCTTGTGCAACCTGGTGCAGGCGGAAGAAACATCCGCACGCAGAAAGACCATCAACCCGAAGTGGGTCTCAGATCTCCCCCCCCAAAAAAACCCCAGTCATATACGTACACAGAACAGACAAAAACATTGAGAACAAACAGTAACAATCCAGATGGCAGAAAGCCCAATCCAGTGTCCACTACTGCCAACGCTCCCATTCTTCTTCTTGTCTCGTTTAGAATCCCTTTTAGAAACAGACATTCCCACCAACATGAGCTGATAATTCAGAGAGACGACTCCTCATTAAAAAATTCAGTGTGGATTTCACTAGCATGCTACGCTAGCTGGGCTTGTATGGTGGCTCTGCCTATTCAGGACCCCAGAGACCACCAGAGACGCTTCGAGCTGCATCAGGGACCAACCTGCACATCACGAAGTCCCACCTGAGCTACTCAGGTGAAAATGGCGCAAGAGATCTAGAGATGAAAAAAATATATAATCCTGCTGACACTTTCACGGCTGATCCTGGGTCTGTTTTGGAGATGGGGCTGCCGTGACAACTACAGTGGATACCGCTTTTGTAGAGCCAGAGACTGTTCCTGCCTGGAGATGGGAGGCTGGAACGGTCTGAATCCGCACCTGTACAGAACAGGACAATGAGATTAGAAATCTCCCCCCACACTGCAGAAAATATCAATACTAGCAATAAGCACTTAGACTTATACATCTCTTCACAGTGCTTTACAGCCCTCTCTAAGTGGTTCACATAGTCAACATAATTGCCTCCAATAATCTGGGTCTTCATTTTACCGACCTTGGAAGGATGGAAGGCTAAGTCAACCTTGAGCTGGTCAGGATCGAACTCCTGGTGGTGGGCAGAGTTAGCCTGCAATACTGCATTCTAACCACTGTGAAGGGAAGGGAGAGGAGGAAAGAAGGGAGGGAGGGAAGGAGGAAGGAAAATAGCAGTAGCACTTAAGACTTATATACTGCTTTAAAGTGCTTTACAGCCTTCTCTAAGCAGTTTACAGAGTCAGCCTCTTGCCCCCAACAATTTGGGTCCTCATTTTACCGACCTCAGATGGATGGAAGGCTGAGTCAACCTTGAGCCTGGTAAGATTCGAACTGCCAGCAGCAGAAGTAGCCTGCAGTACTGCATTCTAACCACTGCACCACCCATGGCTCATGGTACTAGGGGGAAAGTCTGTTGTTAAACCAAATTTCTTACTGAAAGCTTGCCTCACCCATGTCCCTCAAATCCTCAACCTCTGACCAAAGCACTCTCTAAGTGCATGAATAAATAAATCACACCCAAAAATTAATTGCAACCGTCCAAGGCGATGGTGATATTTCAAACCCAAGCCACAAAGAGAGTGATTGGGGTTCCTTACCTGGGCAGCCTGTCCTTGTTGCTGCAGCTGTTGCAACTGTTGGGCAGTCAGGAAGCTCACTGGTTTGTTCCCAGCAATCAGTTTTGTTCCGGCTGGCATGGTGGTCAGGATGATATTCCGCCCCAACCCGCTAATGCTATGGAAAGAAAACCATCTAGAAGTCAGGGGGAGATTGGAGGCAGAAGGCGATAGACTCCTTGCACAAGGCTGGGCTTTTCATATTGGTTATTGTAGCCTCCAGGTTCCCAATACTTTACAAGAACATCAAGAAGGGTTCAATTTCACAGGGAGGTCTCCCAGAGTTTTACCTAGCGAAAGCTGTTGTTTTACCAAACTAGCACCACCTCTAGCAGGGAGAGAGTTGGTGTTCACCTGCTTTAGGAAGAAACATCACTTTCCCTCTAGTAGTGCCTTAAAGTATGTGTTTCCAGGATCTGAGCTGAATTCTGCACATTTTACTACCAGGGCTGATTTGGTAGGGGGTTAAGCCTCCAGGCTAAAAACCAGGAAACTTTGGCATGAAAGCCGGCTGGGTGACATTGGGACAATCGTTCTTAGCCCACAGCTCAGGCGACAGCCGGTGAGTCAATTCCTGTCACAACCAATGGAACAACATTTAGTTGATCTAAAAAAAAGTGGACCTTACATCTATGGGGAAAACGCTAGGAAAAAAAAAAAAAGAATAATTCTGCACATTTCCCTACAAAGGGAACTGTTTTATGGGGAAACACAGTAGCCATATGGCTGAAGGAGTGAAAAGGAAATTCACTTTGTGCTTTAAGGAACTTATGGGGGGGAAAACCAAATACAGTAATTGATTTTTCACTCTGAAAACTTTTTATGTTTTATGTAAGGATTACCTTTCAATAGTTACAGCAGCAGGTGAGAAGTTGACCAATTTAGAGTGGGGGAAAAATGGGGATAGCCAAATAAAGTAAGATGCTGTGCAACATTCACAATCATTCAGGGATTTCTTTTTTTTAAGACACTACCTAACCCATTTTACAGACAGAGGTTTCACTCTATAATGTTTTCAGCGGCTAAAAGAATTAGCAGGACCTTTCGGAACTTTCAATCCTCTTTTTTGTTGGATTTCCAGTGACCTAATTACAGCCCTAGGAAATTCGTTACTGAGAGATTCCCAATCCCTTCTGCATTACTTACTTGGCCCCAAGGTTGCCTTTGATGATGGGAGCAGTCACAACATTCTTGCCTTTCACAGGCTGGCTGATGACCGAGAGGGGCACGGTGATTCGGGTAGGCAGTTTCCTCTGGGAAATAAATAAGATGCAGAAATTATTCATACCGTTTCTCCTGCCCTATAGATTATCCACATGTCTATGGAGACCAAAAAAAAACTAAAAGTACACATATAGACTGGGTGAAACAAGGCTCAATAGCAGTAACTGTGAGGGGGATCTTGGAGTCTTAGTGGACAACCAGCTAAATATGAGCCAGCAGTGTGCAGCAGCAGCCAAAAAAAAAGCTAATGCAATCCTAAATTGCATCAACAAAGGGATACAATCAAGATCAAGGGAGGTACTAATGCCACTCTATAAAGCCTTAGTAAGACCACACCTAGAGTACTGCATCCAGTTTTGGTCACCACACAATAAAAAAAAAATGTTGAGACTCTAGAAAAAATACAGGGAAGAGCAACCAGGATGATTAAGGGGCTGGAGACTAAAACATATGAACGGTTACAGGAACTGGGCTTGGCTAGTCTAGTAAAGAGACATGATAGCGGTCTTCCAATATTTGAGGGGCTGCCACAGAGAGGAGGGGGTCAGTCTATTTTCCAAAGCACCTAAAGGCCAGACAAGGAATAATGGGTGGAAATTGAACAAGGAGATTTAAGCTGAAAATAAGGAGAAACTTTTTGACAGTGAGAACAATTAACCAATGGAATAGCTTGCCCTCTGAAGTTGTGGGAGCGTCATCACTTGTGACTTTCAAGAAGAAATTGGACTGCCGTTTGTCAGAAATGGTGTTGGGTCTCCCGCTTGGGCAGGGGGTTGGACTAGATGACCTACAAGGTCCCTTGCAACTCTGATTATCTGTTATCTGAGATTCTCAGTCTTCGAGATCACGGTTGTCCCCAAAGTGCTTTTTTTTTTTTTTTTTCAAGAGGCAAACTGGATTTTCTGGGTTTTTTTCTCTTGAAGACATTTCACTTCTCATCCAAGAAACTTATTCAGAAGCTTCTTGGGTGAGAAGCAAAACGTCTTCAAAACCAGAAAGTCCAATTTTGCCTCTTGAAAAAAGCACCTTTCAGATAGATATCCAAAGGAAAGTGATACCCTCTCCCCCTGAATGCCCCCTTCCCCAAATTTTCTGCAAAACCCCGAAACCATCGCCAATACATATGACCTTTCCATGCGGCACTTGTAAACAATTCCTAATGATGGAAGAAACCAGAATAGTTAACGAAGTGGATACTTTCCCATCTCAGGGAGTTACTTACTGGCTGGGAGGTGGAAACCACTGTGGTGCTCACAGGCACCTGTCGCACAGTGGAGGTTCCTGGCCCTATAGATATGGGTGTTCCTGCCGCCCCTGAGACCACAGCGACTGCCTTGGAGACAGAAGCCGTCATGGTGGGCAGAGAAACAGCTGAGGTATGGCCAGTCCGAGGTATGCTGACTGAAGAAGTAGAGGGCATATGCTTGGCATGGGTGGCCACTGTAATTGTCTGGCCAGGTTTGGGAGGCATCACCCCCATGCCCTGCACAATCCTTATGGTGGCTGCCGGCTTGGCTTCGGAGGACGTGATTGTGGTCATGGATTTGCCCTTGTGGTCTGCCACGGACATGCCCAGAGCAGGCATCAGTCGGAAGGCGGAACCGGCAGACTCCACTGTCTTCAGGTCCGGTGTCACTTTGACCACGGTTGGTCCAGCGGCAACGGGCGAAGCAGAGGTGTTGGGCGTGCTGGTCTTGGCGGGGGAGTCCGAGGACTGGATGGAGCTTGAGGTCACCCGCAAAGTGGCGCAGATGCCCTTCCCTGCAGGGTTGCTCCCGGTGCCGGTGGCTGTGCCGAAGAGGTCTTGGGTCAGTTTGACGGTAGTGACTTGAGATTTGGCCAAGGTGGCCATCATGTCTGGAGTGATGCGGAGAACTGTCTGCCCCTTGGCATCGGTGGTGATGGAAGACGGAGGCAGACGCAAAACATCCTTGCCTTGAATACGGAAGTTGGATGTGGTAAGCGGGAGGCTGCTCCCGGCCTGGTTCTTCATGCTTAACTGTCCAGTAATAGCCACCTGCAAAGCAAAACGGGCACTGATTTCAACTTCTCTTTCAAGAAACACTGGTCGTATTGTCTGTAGCCATGCCTGCAACACTGGTTATATTGGGTGTAGCCATGCCAACTAAACAGGGCTGGAAGGCCAAACTTCCAGGGATCAAAACCTTTGCTCAGAGGTCTTTAAAAACCAGGCAAATTAATGGGCAAACAGGCCCATCCCTCAAGGCTGAGTAGCCTCCTGAGATCTATTTCCTAGTTTATAACATGGCTGCCAGAAGCCTGAATTTCCTCTTCCATTCTACCATCCTTTTCAAGCTATGTCTGCGAGGAGGGTGTGGAGTTATGTGTTTTTATTTGAATAAATTCAAGAGCTTAATAAACCAGGCGTGGCTGGTGACTTTCCTAGGGGCACGTAGTTAGCAGTAAAATAGCTTAGCAGGGTGCAGATCCTCACCTGTTTAAT